TGCTTCCACCAACGATGCCTTGTAGAATTCGCCTCGAACAGAAACGCCCCCTCTTCGGTTGACAAGAGCTGCGTTGGTCGCGGGTTCAATTCATTAAGTGTGATGCGACCGTGACGCGTGCATTTCCTAGTCGCTCGTGAACCAGCGTCGTTTAGTTCCGACGAAGGAACCGCCGTTGCTAAGAAAATAGCGCCCTCTTGGGTCCAGCTCAAAGCCCATTCTGGTCCAAATCCTGAACTTGAAGCTCATTATCACAGCCAGGAAAGCCGAGAGGACATTTTCCACCCCCTGCCAACGGATGGTTTTCTCTCTTGTTTTTCACTCTAGTGTCTTGGGTTCTCTTGGTGCTTCCTCCTCCATGTCCTCAATCATTCCAGCGTCGATCTTGCCGATTTCAGCTATCAGCCTTTTCTACCGCCTTAATATCCCGACCTTACCGCTCGTTCGTATACCAGAAATCCAATTTCCTCCATTGTTGGTGTGTTACAACATCTTTCATCCTACGTAAAAGTTACTTTTCTCTGAGCACCTAGACTGGATATGTGTGCCATTTATCAAAGCACCAAGTCTAATCAGATTGACTTGTAGGGCAATTAGTATTTTCCCCGTGACACCTCCCATGACACCTATCTGACTTTGCTTCGGAAAATTATTTGAACACCCACTGGGGTTAGACGCGCAAGTCTTGATTCTGACGCGATTGTACAAGCTGCCAGCTCGAGGCTCTACATGCCTATGGCGGCAGCGTGCAAAGAGTGAATAGTCGTGGTTAGTAAAGGGAAGTAAAGTGCGACATTTCAACAGGGGAAGCCTCCAAAAGTACAAACGCTGGTGTCCTCTCGAGGACCATCTTCCCACAGACACGTATATGGCGCATCCCAGACCATTGTGTACAAAAACCCGGCTCGTGCAGGAACAAGACAATGTTTCATTGTCTCTGCTGCCAGCAAGTGGCTAGCAGCTCAAGCTACATGTCAAACTAGAGCAGAATTCCATGAAAAACGTACCTGTAGACATATATTGTAAGTACCAAGTACAAGTACCAAACCAAACAGGCTTCTTGGACAGATGGCGTGCCAAGAGCATGCTCCAATTCAGTATTCAATAAAATATAGATTCATGAAAGGCGCCTCATTTATGTCAAGGCCTTAGCATAAAACAATACTGATGGAAACTTTATTCAACGACTTGTGGATAACAAAAAAATAATATGAGACGATGGTTTACAAGGAAAAACATCATTGGATTCTATTATTAAGTGGGGAGCAATGTAAGTTGATACAACATAACATGTACATTTAACCGCAAGAAAAGTTTCCAATGTGTGTTTCAAGAGAAAACTAAAACATCTGTTAATGCTAGCTTCGGTTTCAATATGAGAGACCCTGCTGAGACTAAACGTCTTTCCCTCTAGCTTGACTGTTTTTTTTAATGTGCCACGCCACTCTAGTCACCAGCATTTTGCAGAAGATTTCTGCTTTATAATTTGCCTGGAAAATGATTTTTTTCCCCTGGATGTCAAGCTCAAAGGGGAAGGGATAATTCGTCATCCGTGTTCCGGCTCTGCCTTTCCCTCTGTTGCCTGTGAGTATCCTGAAATCAAGTAAAACCCCAGCACAATACTGAACAGAGTTTGGACAGCACTAGTGTTTGTCTTGGTGGAGAGCGGTAGCTTGTGGTCCGTATTATTCCTCCGTACCGCACCGAAGTATATCGGTGGTGTCCCCTTCGTAGAAAACAGGGTCTTATGATCCTCCGAATGCACGTTTTCTTGGTGTTTAAACAGTGTGTATTGCTTGTTTTCCTCGTACGTTATTGCAATTAGGCTAAATAAACCCCCTGGCTTGTATCTGCATCCATCTTGACTTTCGGAAGGACAAGCCTTCGTAGGATTTCGTAGCTTACAGTCGGTATTTAACCGAAATGTACAACAAGAGACAAGACACAGCCAGTTACAGCCAGAGACTATCACGGACCCACCTGTCACCGTCTAGTGTTGCAGACACCTAACACCACGGGCTATGAGTTCCCTCGGTGCGTCGGGAGGCGGAAACAACCCGTCGGGCGTCATCGTCTGTCGCCTTTTGCGAAATATCACCGTGACCGGCAGGAACTCTGTGTTACGAACTTTCGAAGATGGGCCCTTCGTATTATGGAGCGTGCTCAAATTACCCTGAGCCGTAATTACCCGCGATTGCAGCGCCCTGGGACTATTAGCATTTCCGAGCATTTCAAATGAAGATGAATACCTTGCTGTGATTCAAACAACAGCTTGAAGATAACTTCAGTCTTTTACAAGTTTGTAAACAATAGCGCATACCAGACTGTTACGTCGAAAACTTACACTTGGCAAATGTGCATTGCAAACCAGATGCAATTTTTTCATTGGACAGATATCAGCACCAAAAGACCCAAATGCTCTCTTAGCACAGGTCGACATCAAGGCACTCGGTTACGGCTTGATATAGTTACCCATTCGTAACTCGCCAGTTTCGGGAATTTGCGCCCGCACCGAGCACCTAATTAAGCACGGATGGACGTCTTCCCGGCTCCTGCCGGTACTTATTCAAACTGGGTTATCTTTGCTAACAGTGTTTAACCATTCTAGCGGTTTACCTGAGCGAGTGTACCAGTTTTTAGTTCGACCAACAATCAGGCAACATTCATTTCAGTCGACAGGGAGAAAAACACCTTCACAACATCAGTGCTTGTTAGGTGTAATCGCTGATTGCATTTCACAACATAAGCGCTTAAATGCACCGAGACCAAGGAAACACAAAAGTCCTCGGAGGGTATATAAAGGTCCTCGGAATTTATAATCTTGTAAGCGTTAAATTACGGTCGATTAAAGAAGTTTTGAGGAGAGGGATTGCGGCGACATTCGGAAAGATCTCTCTTAATTAGTAGAGGAGTGGTTCTTATTAGAACCGGTATGTACTCGACGTTTAAACCAATGGGCTCTAATCGTCCTCGTATCTAAAAGGGTTTTGTTAAAGTAATGTCCATACACCAAGCAACAAGTCACTTCTGAGCACTTTCACTGGCTTTAAAACTGCGACAAATTTGATTTTGATGTTAAGAGGCGGTTTGATGTTTAACAAAGCTCATTTTAAGTTGAAACATGAGTTTAGTCTATGATGACCGTTTAGGTTATTAGAAATATTGTCGTGCCCTCGACCACAAGGCCAACACAAGACGTGTGCGCTTGTATCGAGGTCATTAATCTTCAAATCGTCTCTCTACAAAAGGTGTTTTTTGGCTTAAACCCTGAAAGGGCTGGGTTATGTTTGGCCAATCTTGCAGCCCGAGAGGGGTGGATTCCGCCCCGCCCCCCATCAATTGTGCCACGCTCGATGTTTTTAAAACTTGGCATGCATGTAGAGGAATTTCTTATCATTACTAATGTGAAACACGTTTCTGTTGTAACGGTCATTTGAAGTTCATGGGTACATGTTTTTACCAGTACGCATGCATTGAGCGCCGCTGTGGAAAAATTAATTAAAAAAAAATTATTTAGCTGATCCGTTTCAGAAAAATGCGAAAATGTTCGATTTTAGCAAAAATAGTGCCAAAATAACCGCAAGAGTTACTATAAACCTCCCAAAGGCTCACCTCTGAAAAAAAAATGCTCTGCAGCGATATCAGAAAAAAAGTGGGGGAGGGTGGATTCCGCCCCCGGGTCTTTTAGGGTTAAGCAGAAAAATTGTCCTTTTTGATATTGTTTCCGTTCATTTGAGATGAAATAACTTTTTAAATATTATATAACAGTACCAATAGCCTCGGTGACACCAGGCAATTTAATTCTTTTTATTCTGAAGTCGAGAAACAACAAATACAACGCACAATCGGGAAACCCATACAGTTCAAGGGGAAATATTTTGTTAGAATCGAGTGGCTTCAAAACAAGTTCACGCGCAATATTCCCTGTAGGCTCTGCGTAACACAAAACACTTCAAACATAATATGATTCACCTTTCGGTTCGTAGCACAAATCATTTCGCGCCAAATTTTGACATGCGATATTGTCCCCGCCTGATTTTTTTTCACCCGCGGGGGAAGACACCAGAGTTGTTGGTGTGGCGTGGATGACAAGTGTTTAATCTTTCTCCCATCCCTCCACGGTGTCCACCACTTGATGTATTGCTCGAGACAACTCACGTCCAGTGAGCAAGTGTCATTGTTAGACCGGAAATTTCACACCGGCCCGCGTTTCTATTTAGCCGCGTCATTTAGGAAGACAGATCTGGGATTGAATTTCTTCATTTTCTACATCTGGGTTAACTGAGCCCCACATGGGATCTCATCTTACTCCACATAAATATTACCGACAGTGATTTATTGAATGCAAAGCTAAGCACTTGTATGGAGGTGCGCTCGAAAACGGCTTTGTCACGTGGGGGCCTACTCTAAATTTACGTTACATGTCATTGAACAGCCCTGGCCAAGTCCAACGACAAGGAATCAGCCAATGGAAGATTTGGCCTGGTATCCAGGATAAATTTTGTGTGCTGGTCACCAGGGAAAATCAGCCAGTGGTTGACTGACTGAGGTTGATAGAGCTGGGCCCCGCATCATTAAAAGGGTGTTGAAAGCCATGAGGATGATCTCAATTTCTATGTAGAATCCCCGTCAAAAGCCTAATTCAGCATTGGAATTTTTGCTTGCATATCTGCTGCAACTTTTATTCTTTACTCCGGTTAAAATATTAAAATTTGCTTTGAAGTGTAAGCATGACTAGGTCTTTCTCTGTTTTTATTTTTACAAAGCACTAAGTCAGAACCCTTGTGTTTTGCTTTTTTTTCCTATCTCGATTTATAGCTCTTTCCATTGCGTTTTATCCCTCTTACCTTGGCTCTAACTCCATATCTTTTTGACCTAGGTTCAAATCCTGGTAGATTTTGCACTTGGCCACTGACTAATTAATTACAGGTTGATTTCTGTTTATTAATTCTGTATACGTTTGATGATTGATATTTTCCCGGCCTTTTTTCCCTTGGCAGACGGAGTGTTCACAGGCGACCTCACCGATGAAGAGGAGGGAGCCGCGGTATTACAGAATCTCATCGGCGATCTCATTGATGACGTGGACGCCAAAAACGGCCTCCGGCAAGCCATGCTAGGGGAAACGCTGGAGCAGGCGCAGTTTGAGGCAGAGGCGAAGCGGGCCGGATGCCGGAGAGGCCGGTGTGTCTTCCGGGGGCCCAATCCGAACATGGGCAGCCGGGTGCTACCATTCGGCAAGAGGGAAGAAGTACCGGCCAACACCATGGCGAGGAGGGGGCGTAGACCGTCCCGGAACCGCCCTCTACTGCCCTTTGGGAAGAGACGCTAACGCACAGACAGGTTCAAAAGGAATCAGACACCCCTAATAGCGAAGCAAATTTTAGATAGCTAGCTCTACTTTTATTTTGGACTTTCACTTTATTATCACCTAATCCAACTTTATATCCAAGATGGCTGTTGGCGTTTTCGGAATCGCAAATAAATTTAAGGTTTACAAGCTGTTGCCAGTTATGTTTTAGTAATTATCTTTAACATGTCTAAAATAAATCAGCAAAACGTAACTGACTTTAGAATTTATCCTAACCACAAAGATTCGAATTTTCCTGATGTAAATAATACAAACATTCAATCAAACGTTTAATTTTCAAGCCACTTAAGACCGGTTCATACCTCCCGTGGAAGCAAAAGTCAACTTGAATGTGTGGCGTCAGGTGAAATAACTGCGTTGCGAATTCGTAAAAGTTGAACACATTTCAACTTGAGCGAAATTTCTATGCAAGTTTTAGACATCAAATCGGCTTTGCTTTCCCATTCGCCTGAAGTATGAACCACCTTTATTTGGGCCCGTTTTTGCTCTTGCAAAAAGCCCATTGGTCCGTAGAAAATAATTCAGCCGTCAGCAGAAACATTCATGGTAGCTCAGATATTCTATTCTTTATTTTTGAAATGTCTATTAGCTTTATTGGCTCGTAAGGGGAAAATCAAATTGTGCTTTGTTTGAAAAAAAAAAAAAACAAAATTATAGCATAAGGCAGTTCTGATTGTTTCATCCTTTTTTATTTGTGTTCAGCACAGCTGTTTTCGTACTGTCCTCCTACCAAGAATGGTGAAATCAGATTAAAATCTTGGCTGATCTGTGTAGCATTTCTACAGTGATATTCCACATTTACCATCTCTTTCCTTCTGAGGTATCTTTTCTTGATTGCTTGATTATATGTGAAATGTGTCACCACAAATTAAAGGCAGTCTCAAGCTCGCTTCCAAGAAGTGCCGAGGTTGAAACAACACCAAGACAGGCATGGCAAAACTTTTGGGTAGACTTTTGCAATCTGAAAGATGCGCAGGTAGAATATGTTTCATTTGTTTTAAGCTAAAAGGGCGTTTAAATCTTGTGTAACATTCTGACATGGACCAGGACCCCTTACAAAAAAACAGAAACAAAACTGATTAAACCAAACAATTTGTCCTAGTGTCTGTAAGTGAATGTTAATTCCCAGCAGGATTTTCGATACTGCCGTCCGGTGTTCTAAACTGGCTTTACTGAACTAAAACTAAGTCATGAATTGACAATTTAGTCAGACTCGTCGAAGTCCTTGGAATTAATATTGGTTAGAGGGATCGTATTTGTTGTATTTCCAACGTTGAAAGGTATCGATGGTCTGTTTATAGAAATCAGTTATGATACGAGTTTAGTTATATTACTCCTTCTTGTATCAATTTCTCTGAAGCCCTGGCTCGTCTCAAAGTCAACATTTAAGTTGGTTCGGCACGCCCGAGATTTGTTTACAAAAGGTGTTTAAAATGGAGTGGATCTACAGTTATTCAACACAGTGTAAATGGACAAAATTAATAAAGCTGCAATGAAATTAATTCAGCCTTGTAAACATTGATACATGCGGTTTTTGCAGATGTCCCTGGCAAAGTGGCTTATAGGATCTGTAAAATGTAAAAAGCATTTTTTTAAAAGTCGCCTTTTGGGAGAAGTAAAATGAGAAATTTATCAAGGGAATGATTCACGGGGTTGTATGCAAATGAACTTGAACGAATAATTATTTTTTCCTTGTAACAATTAGGCATTTTCACACTGGGCAAAATTAAGATGGCTTCACAAATTCAGCGAAAATGAACTCTAAATGGTAAACACTTCATTCTTAGTCAGAAAAAAAGGATTTATTAATGAAAGTTTAACATATAATGTTGATTCGTCTGTAAGAAAAACACAGAGCACATCTGAGCTACGCTTTACATGTGATAGTTTATCAGGTGGCCAGGATTCATTCAAATATTTAGTAAATCTGGTTTTCAGCCTAATTCTTAAGACAATAATAAATATCTACAGAATGGAAACAAAGCAATGTTTCATTTCTTTGATCTTGTTCAGGGTGTTTCGAACTATGGTAAGATGAATTCACACCACAAATATACTTATTCACTAAATCCCACACGAACCCGTCCTTAGATGAGCAGCTGGTAACATTTTTGGCCACATGTGTTGCGAACATGGACGTGTATATACATCTGGCGTGCCATCAATGGCGATTAAATTTCCAAGTTAATTGGCGACAATCACGAATGCGTCATGTTTCTGGAAGGCTGGTGTAATTAGATCAAAAGGCCGTCTCTGCAGTCCAATTTTGTCGAAACAATACGAGGAAGTAGTGAATTTTCCTTCCTTGCCAAGAAAAAAAAATGCAATGCAAAACTCCATTATTCAAATGTCCCGCAGTTAAATTTCTAAACGCCTTTCAGTCCTTGAGGGAGTTGCAGCATAACCTGATAACACGTCCTCCTCTTCCCTCTTAGTTCGTTCTCTATTTGATTTATAGTGATTGTCGCTCTAATTCGCTAGAGCCACAAAGCTTAGCCAGGCTCCAGAATTGCCTCTCATTCATCATCAAAAGCACATCCTTCGAGAGAAAAAAAAAATTCCCACCCAAACTGACAGACACCCGTAGCGCACCTGTGCTGCCCAGACGCGCGTGTTTGCCGCAACAATTTTTACGACTAATGCCTGCTCAAAGTTTGCATTTGTTGCGTGAAAAGGAATGAAAAACAGACAGGAAAGACCAGGGGCGTAGCTAAGATTTTACTGGTGGGGGGCACAAAGGGGCACGAGCATCTTATGGAGGGCACCAGCTTTCAGTGGTGTGTGTTTTGGGAAGCAAGTTTTGTCAGCCTTGTTCAATATCCATTCCTCCGTTTTTGTTTTTGTTTTTTTTTTCTGTGGGGGGCAGGGACCGGGAATTTATAAGGGGGCACGTGCACCCCTCCCCCGGCTACGCCACTGGGAAACAGATACAACACCAGGTGAACAGTATCTGAAGCCATTCAAAGCTTGTTTGACAACCAATGATTTTAAACATTTTCATTTAGAGCTGCGCGTGTTCTCTATGGGTGAGGAAGACACGATGCTTACCGGAGGGCGTGACCGATGGGCTCTAGGAAACATGCATATCACAAACGTTCTATTCTGTTGATTGTTTAACCGGTTAACCAACATTTTCTGTTAACAACACTGGATTTTTGTGGAAGACTTCAAGCTGTACGTTTTAAGCGCTGTCATTTTTTTTATTTTGAATTCATGAGATATTATCAGTTAACATTTTAAGAAGAAATGACAAAGGCGTGGAGATTTATTTTTTTTTACATTAAAAAGGCTAGGGTGCGAGCCTATTCGAATCAAAGAATCTCCACCTTTCGAATAGTTTCCTTGACTTAAGATATGTCCCCCACCTTCCACTGTTGTCCATTTGACAAGACAGCCAAACGTTTTACTGATGCTTTGGGTCTTTAGATGAATTCCCTCATTGTCCAGCGTTGGCTAGCTATAAGTATGTACATCTACTTTCACAAAAAAAGCTTTACTCTGACCCAAGCCGTTAATTGAGTAGCTCTTCGGCTGGGTGAACAACAACCTTTTCTTATTCGCATGCATGGTGCCTGCATATTAAGTTACACACAAAGACACGCAGTCGGAACTATCGGTGGACCGTATGGCGCACACACTTACTTCATTACCTCACTCGTCCAAATGGATTGATGTGTATCGGTGAAACGGATGTATGCCCAATTCAAATATTGACGATATGGCTGTACGGAGTTAAGGGATTTTTACACCAACAAGCAAGTTTGCCGAATAGCTACTTTGGGAATCTCAGCTAACTGTCTCTTCAAGACTACATTTGGAATCTGTAACCTTGGAATTAAATGTTATAAACACATGGAAATCCCTCGGTTGCCGTAGGACATCATGTCGTTTGGAAATACATGAATTTGGAATATCATCTTGGACGTTTTGATGGGTAAGTTTCCAAACAATCAGTTTTGGTATTAAAGTTATACATGAGTTGTCACCATAACAACAAATTGTTTACTTTATTTGAGGCTAAACTGAAAGTAAATTTGCTAAATGCGAATCAAAACAATCACAAAGGCAAATGATAAACTTCATACGTTCAAATTAACATGTAAATATTAATAAGTAGAAAACGATGCAACAAAATGAAATGAAAAGAGTATAGGCTGACGTCAGAAGAGTCATTTGATTCAAAGAGGGTCGTTACCGGGGTTAGCCCCAACCGCGTACACGGAACTTTGATAAAGGTGTTTCTAGAGAATTTACGTTTTCAGCTCCTAAAACCACAGCAATGATCTTTTTAATTATTGACAAACCCCATGAGGCAAAAAACCTCTTCCCGTCCCCGCTGGATTTACCCCTGGTTAGCCTCGCAACCTCAAAGTGAAATTATTATCACTACTACTATCATTAATGTTTGACCGTGTCAAGGGTCGTGACCTCAAGGTCCTTCTAAAATCACTCCGCGGATAAAATGATGAACGATTAAAGATGAAACTATACATATAATAAGAACTAAAAAGCTAAGAGCGGAATCTGTATGTTGTAAATATGTTGTTGCACCCTAGGCAAAAGAAAAGGCACAGATATATTTAAAACAATGACTAAATTATAGACCAATAAAATAGAAATTGAAAAAGCTAGCAGGAAAAAAATAAAAGGTCTTAAAACATACTGAGTGTAAGCACAAAACCAAAACAGTAAGAAAGCACATAAATGCATAGCATGGTGCTCAAATGAGCTCAGACAATACATAGGGTTTATGGAACTCTGTTGAACTGGAGTACACAGAGGGAGGATGGTCTGGTTCCCTAACCAAGGATTCCTTGACGTCTCTTGATAAAATCTTTGGTTACGTATGGCAACATGGCAAGGGTCACAAGGAAACCCCTAGGTGATCCCATGTTTCAGGCTGTTTATGTTGACTGTCACCTTGGGAACATGGAAGAAACTCCGAAAAATGCGTAGGAACGGGGCAGCAATGTGCAGCATGTTGGCATCAAGCAGAAAGAAAACGTTTATATCTCATTATGCATACAAACACGGCCGAAAATACCCGGAAACCAACGAGGATATCCGAATGTGGATGGGACGAGTCATTCGGAATATTTCGGCTTTTTTTTCCCCCGGAAACTGGAGGACTTCCTCCAGTTTTGGTATTGTAGACATTGTTGATTCGACGAACATTGTCGGATTCATCGGGTCTGGTATCCAGAATATTTTGAGCAGAGCTGCATATGAAGAGAGCAGCGCCAACTTCAGATTTTGGAAACAAAATGGCTGCTCATTACGTGTACAGTGAGTGTGTGGCTATTGTTTGTAGTACACTTTCTTTTTGTTTTGAAATAACTTCACTCTTCGGTACTCTATAAATAGCTCTGATTTTGGAAACAAACTGGCAGGTGTACGGCAACTGCACACGGACAATTGGTATACAGTAGACGCACTGTCTACCTCATAATGATCAGCCATTTTATTTCCAAAACCTGCAGCTGGCCCTATTGTCTCTATGTACGGCTCCAATTTGAAGATGACCAACAGCTGGACACAAAATGGCTTCGGTTGACACATTCTTTTTTTTCTCACGAGCCCAAGCATTAATGGGCCTCGAGCTGAACCAAGAGAGGACGCTATTTCCTTTGCAAGGAAGGTTCCTTTTGTACTAACTGCGTATCGCTTGTTCGCAAACGACTAGGGAACAGTTGCATTGCCTCCAACAAAATGAATAGTCCTGAAGAACATGGTTCTTTTCAACAAATGAGGGGGTGCGTCTGCTCAAGGCGGATAGGAGGTAGGTAACTCTTTGTGGGCATTTGACGGCCACTTGTGAAAATGGAGCACACCATTTTCGCCCAGCGCCCATTATTTTTTTCCGAGACAGGTCAGCCAAAAAAGTTTAACTTTCCACTGGCTAGCACCCACGTGGCCTTGAAATCCAAATGCTCATAAATCCAAATGATCATAACAACCAAAACATAATTGTGTAACACTGACTAAGAGTGTCTTCGCACGCATGCAAAGTTTGTAAAGAGTTGAACTTGGGACAATCGTCTGTATATGTGGGCGGAGTCACCCCTCCCCCCCCCAGAGATTGTCCAAAATATCAATCGGCTCATTTAAGGTTAACAGTTCCTCTTTTCAAATTTAGAATATCTAGCAACTTTTGAGCATGCGTAGATTTTTAATTATAATAAATATTACTAAATTAATACATTTTGAAAAGAGACACGGTATTACAGTGGTCATTCTATGTCACGTGCTTTATTTACGTCTTCTTTACAATATGAAACAAAACAAAAACGAAGCACATTGTGTTCAGATAATGTTTGAAGGCCTACTGTCGTGCGAGGGGATTCCTTAAAAGGAAAGCTTCCACCTTGGGCAAGATAACAGATTAGTTTTTTTTTTTATTTATCATACTTGTCAGTCAATATGATAATATTTTAAAGGATGAGCAATCAAACTCAATGTCGACAGAAGTTTGAGAGGGCGCTCTCTTGGAGGGCGACTTTACAGAGGGCGTCCTTGAGAGAGTGATTCGGAAGAGGGCGCCAATCAACGGCAACCTCCCGGCCTGTAGAATTGATCACTTTGATGAATACCAATGAATTGCTCTTAATGGTTGTCACAGTCGAGGCAGAATGAATGCTTACAGAAAATTCACCCCTTAGCAATATCATTTTCTTAAGTACCTACTATAATGTCCTGTCAACAAACCTCGTGAGGAATTTTACAGAAACTTAATGTGTTAAACATCCATTGGCCATTTAAAAAGGTATATTTTTCCAATATCACATGATTTCAATCTGATACATTATTCACTTGGTCGTCGGGTGATATCAAATTAATTTACTTGGCATGAGTACTGTAGAGAAGCCACTGAGCCCGTTTATTTGGGCGTTTGTTGTACACTCACAAACGGAAACTGCATTAAATATACGTCCTTAATGTAAGGCAGGCTAAAGGTAACAAGACCAATGTCGAAGTGCTAGAGTAAGTGCTTATAAATGGTGAGAAACGCAGACTTAGATCGAAAAAAGCGTGATTTTTACTCAGATAGTGGTGGGGTACACGACTTGGGAGAAAGGGAAATGGGTTACGGCGAAGCAGGAGTACATTAGAGCAAGACATTGACAGGTGTACAAATGACGAGAAACACCTCCAAAAATAGTTCTAATATTTGCAATTTAGCTGGTGCACCCCGTATAAGACACCTAAAAACTCAAATAGCGTGCATCTTGGTTTGTTTTTTTGTATCTTTATATTTGGATTTTTGATATCATACACTAGATTTTAGGCATTTGTTTTTACACCAAAACTCCACGTCTCCTCGTCCTCTGCCTCTTGGCTAGTTTCTGTAACAGACGATATAGAAACAAAACTTTAGATTTCTTCAGAGTTGTAATAACTCGGGTCAGTGACTCAACTCGAGTCACAATTTTTGGCGACTCTTCTCAGCTCCAGTCACCACAGGTAAACGACTCGAGTCACTGCGAGCAAATGACTCGACATGAGTCACTGGGAGCAAATGAGTCGACTCGAGTCACTCATCAGAAGACCCAACTTGAGTGACTCGAATCCCAAATATAAAAGCAAGCCTCTTTGCCCCCCAATATCTGTAGTATCTTACAGTGTCGGTTTAAAATGTCCATGTCATGTGTTGTAATCACGAGTAAGATATCGTATGACCACATGTGGACACCCAGACGTTAATTTAAACATGCCAACGCGACTTTCTCTCTTGTTTTATCATCGTATTGTGTTCGAATATTGGTGACTCGAATTGGCTCGAGCTTGACTCGACTTTTTTGCCAAATGACTCCACTGGATTCAAGTCAGTATGTCACAAGTCTACTCGAGTCAGAAACTTAGCGACTCGTTACAACTCTGAATTTCTTTAACTACAATTTGGGAAAGCTCTGATATCGAAAATACAGTGATATCCGAAGAGTGCCCTCATTTACCGAGCAAAAAATAAAACAAATAAAAACTGGATCAGTAAAGCTAAAAATGAAACTGAAGGTTAAAAAAAAGAGTTCATTAATACCAGATAAAGTTAGACAACTAGGGCCAAAACTGATGCATTGTCTGTAAAATGGTTGGCTCTCGCCAGAGTTTGTCATCGGACATTATCAACAGAAGTCATGGTCTCAGGGAAGCTGGTATTAATTGCTTCCAGTGCGGATTATTAGTTTGAACATTCAACATATACTGCAAATAGTAGCAGTGTGAAGGCAACAGCGTAGCGAGCTATCACAAGCAACTGCTTGTCACTGAGAAAGGTTTTTATCTTAGGTCGCCTAGGCATGGACGAGTGTTTTACATTATTTCTACATTAGTCCCCGGATGGGATGACAGTCGATCGTAGGTTGCTGCCTCATTGTCGGTACCTTTACATTCTCCTGGGTAGATAGGGCCAAACATGGGCGAAGTGACAAGCCCTGTACCTGCAACCCATAGCTAGCAAACTGGATTAGAACCCAGGACGCTTTGATTACGAGTTACAAACTCTTACCACTACTGGCCATTGGCCACACCCCCTCCCAATGCAGGGAAACCATTATCGATAATCTAACTACCTCAGATATTGGTAGACGTCCTCCATCGCTTCCTGATCATTGTCTACGTTCCGCTTGAATTGGCCGTTGATTGCTGCAAAGACACAGAAGCATCAGTGGTCAATAAGACTCGCATGTGACTCATGAAAGGTGAGGCCGGGTCCAGACCAACAATATATAATGAGTGAGTGGGCATGATGTAAGATGGAAAAGTTCATTGGCAACGAGACTTTTCATGCTGACAAGATTCAGAGGCGTGGCTGCGTTGGACTCACTTGGTTGGGGCTTGAAATTACCCACGAAGAAACACCGCATCAGCGGACCATATCAGCTGACTTTTACAGTAACCGCAGTATGGAGACATTTCATCTTGAGGGATTTTTGGAGTGCAGCTTTCAGGCAAGTTAAAATGAAGGAATATTCTCTTTGGAACCCAAGTCCCGAGTACAGCTTTGGCAAATAAATGTAAATATTCCAATCTGGGCAGACACAATGTCTTGGAGAAGTTTTACTTTGTCATCCGCCCTCCCCCCCCTAAAAAAAAGTATAAACACGTGAATAAATAAGTCACGACTACATCAGAAAAGACCAGATGAGCTGTATGCCTTCGTCAACGCACGTGTATTCAGCGCGCATTTTGTTACGCGCGCAAAGACTTGTTGAACTCGTGTCACCGTTGGAACGAAGAGGCCAGGCTGCTGTTTCAACGTTGCATTCTCGTTAATAAAGAAGCGTGTATTCGATCATTTGAGAACAGCCATATTCCCGGGCTCTGTTACCTTTATCATTGCGACGCACGCGCAAGGAATTTGCTCGAGTTGGCGTGACGTAAGGTGCTTTCGTCTCGAATTACCTTGCCCTTTTGAAAAATCGAACTGACCCAGTCTACACGAGGACAAAAAAACGTTTTTGTGTGTCCTGTAGACATTAGTCTATGCCGGCGCATGTGTGTGAAAGTGGTGATATTAAGCTAAAATAAGGGCGCCCTCTGTCTGAAAACTATCTGTTTCTGCTTAAGGTTTCCTTGAAAAGATACCTGCGCGCTGAGCTAGATGACGTAAATTTATATAGCGCCCCCATATACTGATGGAAACAACTCTATTACACTATGTCTTACTTCAGCTAAGGTAGTCCTCCCATTCTGTCTTATGCCCACCTTAGTTGAGATGGAAAAATCCTTGAGGTAACTCAAGAGAGTAGCATCAGACACAATGTAACTTTGTACAGTAACGAGAAACAGTAGACAGAAAGGGACACTCATGGGTGTTGAGATTTTGGAGGAGCAAACAACATGCAATTTGAAGCTAGCGAGAACTCAGACGAACAAAACTGAAATGTCAAAATTGTCAAAATGTTGAGAATAAGCACTAATCGAACAAAACCGAGAAAGGCCAGTCATAATATTAGAACGCAAACAAGTCTCACTTGTTTTAGTAGCTATGATTAAATTAAGGCCATGCTAAATCCAGTAAAAAATGTTTAAACCTTTTTTCAAACGTTTTTACGTTCGTTTCATGGAATTTGATTTCGCAACTGTTTACAACAAGCAAGGCATGCGCTGCCTCGTAGAAAAATTAATGTTCCAGTTCACAAATGCCTTATCATAATGACGTTATTAAAAAAGTGTCAGACCCTTAAATGCATTACTGACGGAAAGTCTGACATGTCGAACAACTGTAGACTGGCTGAAGCCATCCGAACGCGAAAAGCGACACACCGTCTCATCCCAGAATGGCCGGATATGGTAATTAGTGATGACTTTGGTATACGCTGCTTTTTTCAGCGTGGGTGGGCTCAAATTAAAGTGACTTGCGTCTGTTATTTTATTGGACCTTTTCTAGACCAAGGACTGTCCCTTGTGTAACAGCAATTATTGTGGCATCTTGGCAGGGGAAGTCCCCAGAGTTATTAACGACCCCCCCAAAAAAAAGAGCCTTGGCATTTGAATGTGCAGCGAGAATTCCACATGTACAGAGTAAACCGGTGCCAATTGTTAAGCCATCGCAAGACGTTCCTGATATTCTCCTTCGATGGCAAAAAGGAACTGACTGGGAATAATTCTTAAATGTGGCAAGTGGTCAGTAATTTCCACTACTGAAAGGGGCCATGATTTGGAGTGGCCTTCGACAACGTTGCCGGGTTTTTCTGTTATAATGAAGATGGATGCTGATGCGAAAAATGAAGAAAAAAAGAAGTGAACAGCAAAAGCCAGGAAAGAGATGACAGTTTGCTTTTTTTTGTGACAGAGATGAAAAACATCCGAAGACGAAGTTTAAGAGAAACCTAAAGGTAAACGAAAATAAGTGAACAAAACATAGACATGTTTTGGTGTCTACTCTTCCATTAGCCAAGAGATTCAACCAACGAGAGGCGGGATACGAATACGTTATGTACGTCTACGCTGAATATGGACAAACAAGGTGTTAAAGATGACATCAACAATGCAAACCAGTAGTTAATTTGAAATCGGAAAATTGGACTTGAACAGTTAAAGAACAAAAACACTGTTAATATTGATTTCACACTTTCACGCGGGAAAACGTCGAACAACAAACAACCAAAGAGAATACGAGAGTATGAAGATACAAATATGACATTCAACAAGTAAGAATACCAAGTAACTTAAGCACAAGAGAAAGTCCACGAAGACAGTTCAAGGAAACAGTGTTAGTGAATGGGAAAGAATAAACAAAGGTATTCGAGATTAGATGAACAAAGGAGCTCTTGAGAAATTCCACAGTGTTACCAGTCACGGAAAATCATTTGAAATTAATTCAGTCCACTAAACCAAAATAACAGATCAGCATTTGCTGAGAGATACACGAATCTGATAGTTTTTGATTTTTATTGAAAAGAGAATGAAAGCCTTTTTGTACGACCGAAGAGGCACAGTAAGCATGGAGAATTGTGAATGCATTCAGCAAAAATGATTGGCGACTTTTCACAGAGAAATTTCGAAAGTTACGATGGCCATTAGATAGTTTTCTGCTTAATCAAGGACTTCTGGAAAACTTGCCTCGCTAGTCGTCGCCTCTTGTGCAGTCTTGCATGAATCATCTAATGCACGTCTTGGCTGCTATCTGCGCACTTATCGAGGCGCACGCAGAAACAACGTCACGTGTCATTATCAAAATAAATTCTCTCCAATGAGAATTTGAAGAAATTACTTCATGCAGCCCTCAGGGTCAACTTGTATCCAATTCAATCAGTCTTATGCTTACTGCGCCCCACGGAGAGAGAGGTCATCATCAGAAGTCAAAGTTCACTTGTACAGAGAGAGCTTACCACCTCTGTAGGGTATTCGTCTACCTGCCCAACGGCGAAATACCTCGATCTGGTCCTCATCATCGGGGTCTTTGTTATAAATATTCATCGTGAATTATGCATGAATTTATAATAAAGTTATACAAGGAGCGAAGGTAACCAACAAAAATGCAACATTGAAGGAGATGACTTTGTATTTTTCTTGATTTTGCATGCGACTATGGAATATTTAATTCTAAATCCGTGCGTATTATACACGTGTCAAATAATATAACCCTCAAATGGGTTAAATAAATTATTTTGAAAGGATTTCACTTCGTAAGCATCTTTCAGTAAAACATGATAATCCACACAATCTACGAACTTCATCTTAACGCAGGATAAACCGGGCAACGGAGTAAAGCCGGATCGCTGTTTATCATTAGCACTGTTTCCTCATTGAAGAGAGACATGTCAATGGAGGCAACCACTAAAATTTTTGAACCAGATGGAACTGTAGGTGACGATGGGATTCCATTAAGCAGAGTTCAACTAACGATCCCTTCATTCGAGTTTACAGCGCTTATCTTTAGCAAAGAGGCCGTGACCATTGGCAGAACACATATGCCTAGTTCCCACTCGCACGTGCTGATTGTGATAGTAATGATAATCTTATTTATACTGTGAAATGATTAAAGGAGAAGTTCTCTTCTCTTGATATCAGTAAAAGAAGAAAATCTAAACAGCGGCTATTATGACTATTCGTCAAATTTTCAACATGCATTATTGACTCAGTCTTAATAAATAACGTAAGCATGACTGGAAAGAGACCATCGAATGAGAGACAGGTATTTTCGAGATTTCCTAAAGTGGAGCATCAAATCGTTACTTGGTTCACTTTAGCAATAGTTCACTCGAATAGCGACCGGTAAAATGCAGCCCACAACGATTCAATTCTGAAAATAAACGATTCCCAGGAGAAAAAAAAGTTCGTGACTGGAAACGGAACCAGCTGCGCCGTATGTTGGGTGCACCTGACACGGAGCGACAGAGAGCGGAATGTTGACTCTCAGATTTAATAATGCATTCCAGTGTTTGCCGGTGATCACCTTTGGCCTCTTGTAAAAACATGAAGGCTTGAAAAATTTGGCATTCATCGGGGCCTAGGCCGCCAGTCATGACGTCATGCTTTTTCAATCCACTGTAGGTCTCCAGTCTGGGTTACCCTTCCTGACCCGTGTATGTGCTCAAAGTGATGCGGTTTGTTTTGTTTTGTTTTGTTTTGTTTTTTTTAACTGTATCCCAGGCACTTTTCGAGGTGTTTACTCAAAACATTGACATGTCATATCCAGGCACCTGCCTCACTTTAGAATCGAAATATTTACAACCAAATGGGAAATAAAAATAGGAGAATTCGAAATATTAGTTTTAACGGACCACGACCTAAATTCTATTGGGAGACAAATTCTGTTGCAATTTTGCTGATCTTGAATGTAGGAAAACCTTTTGGATCGCTTTTGGATTTCTGTAATAAAAAAATCCAATGTTTAAAACAACTTTAGACGTGTTTGCCCCTGATGTATAGAGACGGTGTTGCAGTTTTGCCATTCTAGGAAGAAGGTTTCTGTCATAGAGGTTGATTGTAAAACCAAATTTTGCTCAATAAAAATATTTTCAGAACACTATTAGTGGTTACACTTTATCATAAATTAAAACTAAAATTTGCACAGCAAGATATCCAGATTTCGGGAAAATTGTGCCGATAAGATAACTTTAGTGCTTGGATTAGTATATTATCTGAGATCAGCCTTTTTCTCAAAATATGCAGATTTGCAAAAGCGTTAACTCCTCAGATGCGGCATCATTCATCAAAATTAAAATAAGGATCACTTGGGACACTAACCCGCCCCCATTCACGACGAAACCATCTACTAGTATTGCATTTTATTTAAACAGAAATTGTTTATGTGTGGGCCCTTGAAGAAATGTTGCTCCCTGTGTGCTACGAGCTATTGCCACTACATTGGGTGTTGCTGGGCTGTAACTAGTATTGCTTTGCTGACGCTAATTACTGCTACTAATCAGACGGCAATGTTGAAAGTTGAGGTGTTGAAGTTTCGGTTCATTCATGCCATTACTTGTTGTTGTTTTGTGTGCCTCGTTTGTTTTTGGTTGTTTTGGTTCCATGTTGTCCCTGCTATTGCTGTAGTTGTTGTTACTGCTACGGTTGCTGATGCTCCTGTTTCTTCTGTTGCTGCTGTCATTGTCGTTAGTTGTGTTTTTTTTTCACAGTTGTTGTTTGTTGTGGCTGTTGTTGTTGTTGTTGCTGCTGCTGCTGTTGTTGTTTGTTGTTGTTGTTGTTGTTGTTGTTGTTGTTGTTGTTGTTGTTGTTGTTGTTGTTGTTGTTGTTGTTGCATTCGTTTCAACCCATCTTTTGTCAAAGTGAGGGAGGATATTGATTGGCCCTAGAGTCACTTACCATACGCTCTTGGGACACGTCCCTGGGGTCGAATGTGTCTCCCTCCCCATCGTTTTTGAAATTGATCAAGGCCATCTGCAGCAGTGACCACAAAGGAAAAGAAAATCGAGTCCTGAGAACTGTCAATTTGACCTAATCACCTTCTGCGTCCAATGACCTCTACAGAGCTCCGAGCTGTGACGTCATTTGAACAGGAAGTGAAGTGCAAACGAATGGATTACGCGCGTGTAGCTTCACGCGCAGGTCATAGCGTTGATGTCTATCACACATAAAATAAATTATGCCTGTGACGTATTCACTTTGGTAATCTATACGAACTCGACTTTTTCATTGGATTATTCTCTGAAAACACCTGTGATGCATGAGCAGTAGGTAATTTCGTAAAATTGGCTTCAAGTTGTATGCGCCAACCAAAGTGTCGCAGGCTAATCAGGTAACATAGTATTGAGTGGTTTGCATTCAACTCAAGTTGGCGTTATGCGAGTCCGCGAAATGCATTGATTCTATTTGATGACGGAGAATTGACTCCAGTAAGATTTCAAAACAAATGTCAAAATATTAGGAAATGATCATTCTGGGCTCACCAGTTGTTTTAGGGCTTGCAAATAATTTGTTAACATTTTACTCAATAAAGAGTCCATGAGACTAATTTTGAATTCGCGTAAAAACGACACAAAAACAAAACAAAACAAACTTACGGAACTTTCTGTTGCCTGCTAGCCAAGCCGGTGATGCCTCCTGTGTGGAAAAAAAATAAATAATTACAGTGGCAATCCAACATGCGCATAAGGCCAATTCACAAAAGCAAAACAAATTTGACGTCACCAACCTTTCCACTGAAATCTTGCTCGAGTGGAAATATGTTCAACTTTTACGAATTCGCAGCGCCAGTGTTTGATCTGACGTCACAAACTTGCCTCCGTGTTGGCTTTGGCGCCAAATTTAAACCGGTCTTAAGCCATGTGGCATTTTGGAAAATGGTGGCGAAACAGTGCGGCTAGAGCTAAAACGTTATGCTTTACGAAAGTTGTACGGTAACTTGTTTCTATCAACACTGTGTGTGACTAAAATACCTTGTGACATCTATATAAGAAATATCACTCAAAATCTCTGCTTACAAATTGTTCATAATTGTACACTACGTGGCATGACGATCGTGCATGGACGCGATTTATTTCTGCTTGCACGATACTTGATGGATATCACCTACCGTCTGATTGCATTCGAAACGATTCTGTTTATAGGTTTAGAGATGAACCTTTTAGCGCATGCTTACCTCGGTCGAGTCATCTGCGCAAGTCTGTGAAAGGAAATCAACAAGCAGGACAAGCACGACGGCACAAAGGATGCAAGTTGCCTTCATGATCTGTCGGTGGAAAAGAATCGGGGTATATTGTGATGCCAGTGCGGTCATTTCACAATAGTGCGCCACCAAGAGTTTGCAACACGTTGGCCAATCACAATGCGACAAAGCTGTCGACTCAATGCCCGTTTGGAAAGGGTCGACAGATTTTGCGCGATTAGCCAACGCGTTGCAAACTCTTGGTGGCGCACTATTATGATTCGCCCGTATTAATTGTCACTTCAAAGATTCAAAGATCAACATTATCGTTCTTTACTGGTGAAATTTAGAGGAGCAAAAGTAAATGTGCGCCGATTAGCATATTTCCTACGAAGGTTTTCGATGCTGTCTCGGTTCCTTTCAGGCCAATTTTGGTTTTTTTTTTCTGTCGGCATCTTTGTTGTCATCGTTAAAGTTGATGGCGTTAGGCACCACTGGACTAGTTGTTGCGTTTCAGAGGTTATGGCTGGTACGTTTTAGTGAATATTTGACAGACAGCTAACTGAAATCTAACTGAAGATAACAAAGACTACGTTTCTAAGGATTTTGTCACCGTTTAATTGATGGTTTAGCTCCAGATAGTAACTATGTTGTTGCTGAAGTCTGTCAAGGTTGTAATTGCAGTACTGTTATTATATCTCTTCATGACTGTTAGCTCTCGCTATAAAGTCACGGTTTCTTCTAGCAATTCACTCTTACCGCCAATAGTACCCAGCTTTTTTTCTTACCAGCAATGGTGGTTCCCAACGTGGGCCTTGTTTAGTTAACCCAAATTACTGGCTTGGTCAACACTGGTCCTAAAGCTGCATTCTGTCATGATCAATTCAGCGGATGCCAGACTCCTTTTGGTCTCATTTGCTGCCCCAAATTGAAAACTAACTTTCAGGAATCACCTCTTGGAACGAGGCAATCTGGAAGCATACAAGAAAACCTCCCAGGGCAAACACTTGCCTTGATCCACAATTACTTTGTACAGTTTGCCGTATCATTTGTTGTACCACTTCCGGAGCAAGTCTTACATTTGCAAAGGGGGGGTTTAGGTGAAACTTTGTTCTCGCGTCGAGGGCCATCCCAACAAAGAATTTCAACTCTGAATGGTAATTACCGCTTGACCATTCCCTTATTGACAGTATTGGGTACTGATGGAAAGGCTTCCTCAGAAATACTATCCGATTCCCTCCAAGAACACAATTACACGGAGCTAAATTCAACTCTAAGACATGTTACGCAACATTGACAGCCTGGGGGAAAGAGGTAACTGTGAGAATAAATGATTTTCATATTTGTTTCAGTTGTAAAAAAATGACAAATCCGTATTTTTATTTTGAATTTATCTCTTCCTAAAAATGTAATCAGGCAAGGAATAGAAAATAAATACAGGATACGAGCGATTCACAATAGGGCGTTGTAAACTCTTGGAGGCGCACTATTTTGAGTCGCCCATATTATGAAACCTTCCTTCCTCATTTCAAACGTATTATCTTTCAAGTTTTCAGAGTAGAATGAAAGAGTCAGAACAAGCTACGGTTAATAAACACCGTCCCTCAAACCCCGCCCACTACAGGGCAGCCCACCTCAGCCCCGCCAAATTTATTTGACTTTAACAATTCATGAGTGTCTCGCGGCACTAACCAACGCGGCGGTGTTGCAGCGTTCATGTTACACGCCGGCCTCATCGATAATTCACGCCTCCTCAGCTGCAAGTAATGTTCATCTGTGGTTTCCCCAGTGCCCGTTTCTTAAACATCCTGCATGGTAATTGGTCATTAAAAAGTGTGGGGAGCTTGGCTGGCTGGATTCCTTTTTGTGGTAATCAGACTCTCTTGCGAAACCAGAGCCATTTTCATCAGCGCTTCTATCACATTAACCCTCTCGGAAGTGTTAAGTTGGATAAACACGAAACAGCTTTTCTGTGTTTGGTTGTGTCATGTCCTGCTCTTGGCGAGTGTAAATTATGCTCATCATAACATTAGCCCTTGGAGTCTATTTAACAGGAGACAGGGGCGTGTTACTCAATCTGACAAACCGTATAATTATATCGGAATTACATAGCGCTTGCCTCGCCGTGAGGAAAGGCGGGGGCATTTCAGAAACCTCACCTTTCTGCGAAAACTAGCCTGCTAAATGGCACATTAAATGCGCTTGCACGCAGGCTTAACGCAGTGGTTCAATAAGAAACATCAAAAATTGCCACAATGGCGTGTGCGCGATGGAGCAACGCGCGAACCTATACCTCTGGTCAATTGAGGGACCCCAAGTGCATGGGAAATCCTTTTTTGGATGCTATCTGGTGACGCAGATAATTTCTTCAGGGTCCCAGCGGCCGCACCACGAGGTGCTAAAAACAATAAGCCCCAACCTCTCCCCCAGGGCTGCAACTCGACACTGTGTTCATACGTGGCCGGTGAGTTTCCCTCTCGTATAATGGAGAATTTTGACACCGCATGTCGTCGGCGCGCGCGCGCAGCCGAAAAGCCGCTCCGCTCTTCGATTCCCTGCGGACGGAGAAAGAGTTGAGGGAACGTGCCTCGCTTATATACATCACGACGTGGTCGCTCTTTAAGAATGTTTATTCCCGGTTCGATCTTTCTACAGGAACGCTGCGAATCTTTGAGAAATTGGGACAATTACCCGCACCCCACCCAAAAGGTGCAAAACACAAACAGGTCATTGTGAGATCCTTGAGCTAAGAACACAACGCACACAGTTGAAGATGATTTTTTTAAAAAAGTGGTGACGTCTTTTGTGATCTTTTGTCAGTTGGGTCGAGTGGGCTGGTTCAGTCAAGCGCCAGCCTGCGCTTGTCGGTAGGTGGGTCAGACGTTCGGTGAGTCGGTCGGTAAATGTCTTATACATTTTCCATGAATGGCTATACCAAAGAACTCCGAAGCTCTGCAGCAATCAATATTGTGATTCAAATTTTAAATTCCCTAGATTTATTTTCGAGCCTGACAAATCCTGTTTGCAAAAGAGGACGACGGTTCCTTAAGGAATCACGTAGCGGTGCTCATCCAAGCAGAATGCCCGAGATCAGTGATCCCCTAGGGAAAAAGAGCTTCGAGCATTCTTTGATGCTTTTTCAAGTTCGGCAATGTGCCAGATTTTTGCTGTGTGATGTATCATTCTTCACAGGTTGCAGTATCACCCACGCTCCTTGTGAATAGAAACCTTTGGGGGAAAAGGATGACATATTCTTGGGCATAAGAGAATGCTTTTTATCTTTAATTTCTTTGATGAAGCGCAAAGTCATAAGTTTTAAATAGCTTGATGAGTAAAGGAGAGGCAATATTTGGCATCCAGTCGTTCCATGGAGAATGTTCGAGCTGCCATGCGGATTTCCTTCTGGGAAATAACAGTGTATGACGTTCTCCAACGGTGGGCGTAATGGGAAAAACAGATAAACTGGTTTTGGAAGTTTTGCACAGCTGTCAAATGGTGTCATTTATCTTCCAGACGGAGAAAAAATCTTTCAACAGATCTGGTTACAGCCAAGTTCAGTTGTTTACAAGTTGAGACAAAAAGCAACCGACGTTCACGATTCGTTTATACCATATTTTGTATCAGAAATGTTGCTGCCGTATTTTCCTGTATTTCACATAAAATCGTTTTTCACTCGGTGTCACGGTTTGTAAAAAATACAATTACTAAGTGTTACGTACGTCAACCCTGCGGGGCTTGCATTTTCACGAAGATAATTCTTGTTAATCTTACAGAGCGCATTTTGTGGCTGTTACATACCATAGCATTATAGTGGTTCTGTCTCCTTCACAGCAAAATAGTGCTAGTCTGAAACAGTTGTTCCGTTAACCAAGTAACACAAAATTTGTTATTTGAACTAAGAAACAGCCCAGATGGTTGGAGCATTGTGCAGTAAATCCTACCTGATCGGAAATTCAGCAATGAGTCATTCCTAGAAGGAAATAACCAATTGGAGGCAATGGTTTTAATAACTCTCTGCTGGAACTGTAATTTTGGACGTAAAGAAGTATCTTATAATTTTTTTTCGCTTGCGTGGAAATCTTATTTTTCGGGACCAAGAAGGTTTTTGATTTACAAAAACGAGCAAACACAGAAAACAACGTGGAGCTTCTTTAAGTGACTCGCGCACAATCGGCTCAAAATGAAATGAAAAGGTGTATTTGTCCACGCTTCATTATTTTACCATGAAAACGCACAGCTGTAAGATACCCCCTCTAATCCATGTTCTGCGTGATTAATTGATTCATGTTAAACACAGATGGCAAAAGCGTTGATATGCTGGCACTTTTACCAGCGTGATTTTGTTTTGGCTCAAAGGGAAGGAAGGAAGTCTTGTCCTGATTTTCTTCCATAAGTCTCCCGCTGACAAACTAAGTTTTCCAACACTAGTCAAGTTTATGTTTGAAGGGGTGATATCATTCCTGCAGCCAGGTTATCCGATTATTATATTTTCAGAGCTTTGAATTTTCCACGCGATAACATGAGATAAAAGGCAAGACGGGGATTTTGAATTATTTCGAGGCAGCGTTTTGCCACGTTCAAAACCGCTTTGATTGGTGATGGACCTTAATGCTGGCACGGGAAGAAGCGGGGCTGTGATTAAATAAGAAGGAACAGGGGAGTCGAGCGTTAGAATTGCACTTCGCTTGTTCCTTAATGGCGTTTCGGCGTAATTATCAGCAGCTACAAGCTTAAAAGCATGTGAAATTAAGTTTTTTTCTTCCCACAATGGGCGCAGTGTAACAGTGATTGCATTGTCCGGCGCGTCGTTTCTTATTTATTTCCTTTTTTAAATCTTTTTTTTTTTTACAGAAAACGGTGGCGTACCGCCAACGTTGTGTTATTGGCTTTGCATTGAGCCTTCGTTTTTACTGAATGTCGACCATTACCCGTCATGGACATTCTCAGAGACATTAATGTTTTTATAAAGGGAAACAGACGGGTAATCTACGCACAGTTGACCCTTATAGAACCAAGACAGATTCCCCCATGCACATTTTCCTTGAGATTAAGCCTTTCAAACCTTGCAAAGTAATGTCTCTTTG